GGAGGACCCATGCCAAACAATCGGTGATGGTAACGGAGCTGAGAGATAATTAGGTCCTTTGGAATTGGATTACTATGTACATTGTGCTATATAATGAATAACGGGGATGTATTTGGTATCAGGCGACAGATAGGCATCGCCATTCTCTGGATAGAATCTGCTGACTACCAACATTTACAAAGATAACTGTACGTAACTGTACGTTAGAAAAGATAACTGAGGGTCGGAAAATAGTGGGTTCCCTCTGGGGGTAGCTGAGCCCTTCGGCAGGGGTAATGAGGGCGTCTGGAAAAAAATATTTTTAGGATTCATAACTCGCATAGATTCATAAGCTGCTTGATGTGGAGTATACGCTTGTTTTTTACTTTGATAGGCTTTTATCTAATCAGACCATTTTTAGAGCTAGCAGGATTATTGGAATTAGGGGAGACATTTGTCTGAGCGGACACGGTCAATCGTAGACTGGAGACTGAGCCCAGCCAGTGGGCAGCTGCCACCCATGACCCACCCCCTTCCCCCTCCCAAGTACTCACTGCACCCGGCTACAGGCGCGCTCCTATGTGAGCTGCCCGATTGCGATATACGTTGCCGGTCCAGCCCGGAACAGGGGGTTGAGGCGTGGAGGAGGATTCAACTATCCGGAAGATGGGAAGGACGGATTGACATCGAATCACCATTCTGTCCTGGCATTGTCTCGAGAAAGAGGTTACACGTGAAGGTCGCTGAGAGTGGGGCCATGACAATTTTGGATTAGGTGTAAACATGATAAGCTGGGAGTCGATTTGTTGTGATGCGCTACGCATTACGCGGGCAATTTGTTAGAGCCGGATCGGTCCTTTTTTCTTTTTGCTGAGAGTGGGTACGACTAACCTGCAATGGAATTTAACTTTACTCCTAGGAGGGTGGTTAAGAATGATTGCGGATATACGCGCATACGTGAGGCACTGGTTTACTCCCAATCCTCCGTTTAATTGTATTCAGTGTGGGGTCTGATAGGTGGGGGTAATGGCTCTGTCTAGCTTCCAAAAAGAAAGCACCACCCTGGATACGTGTCGACCACAACTTTAAATGAACAGCAAGGACAAAGTAAATGGTTGATAATGACCGTGTTGCCATCTCCCCGTTCGCGAATCATGAAGTTATGCTTCATCACTGAGGCTCTTAGGCGGGTTATAGAGCATGACGGGATGTGGGTTCCGCATTTTCAAGCAATAGTTGTCGACGGTTGATTGATGTTTTGTCAAAACATATTAGCATATACGGCCATTCAGTGTACTTTATGTCCGTCTGATGTGCCCGTCGTTGCGTTTTCGCAACGCTGATGGCGCCCGGTGTGCCCTTCGTTGCGATTTCGCAACGCATGTTTTTACGTTTCTCTCGAAAAACTTTTGCTGCAGGTAAAAATTATCTTCGATTCCATGCAAGGCCCTGGTAGGAGCATAACATATTTTGATTTCGTCGATTTTCATGATGGTCAATATTCCTGGGCATAAATGGGTTAATGTGAACGAATAGCGTGCCTCATGGTAATACAAACCTCATAGCAATGACTCATGCACGTAATTCATACTCACCAAGCGAGTAGAAGGCGTCGCTGCCATGGTGACGTATTTGATAGTGTATGACGTCACCGCCTACGAACACCGAGAGGCCAAAGTCTCCGTGTGCCGAGGTGCTGTCCCGCACCAGGAAAAAGCCGTCCTCCGGGGAGCCTGCAACATCGGTTCAAAGGAAGGTCAAGTGATAAGGATATACATACAAATACACAGCATGGACTGCAACAGCATTATACACTGCAATACACAGCAATACACTGCAACAGAGATTAGGGCTATGTAACCTTAAACCATATTGAAATTTAGCTCGAGTGTTTAAACTGACCGAGCGTTTCGATGTCATAACCCGCGCCTAGCGCAGCCCGTTGCATGTGTGTAAGAGTTGACCTATTCACCATGGTTCACCTGGCCCAAAGATCGATTTCGGGTGCAAACGACGGAATAATCGCGGCTACTAAAATATGAAGACTGCCCCAAAGATCGATACTGAAGTGAGGAAAACATTAAAAAGCTTGGAGCTGACACTGACAAATCAGTCTTCCAGCATGCACTCCAGTATACTCGTATGTGTTCATGATAGTTGGTGACAGAAACATGACATAACAGAACAGTAGTCAGCAAACCTTTCTTCAGCAGAGTTTCAGCATCTGCCCTCGTAATGTTAGGGAAATACCAGTCCACACTTAATTGGTCAGATCTTGACGACTGCATCTCTCTTTCATAATTTTGTAACCCAAGGTCTGTTATTCCGGATACTCTTCACAGAAGCCTGCAGGTCCCCTCTGCAATGAGGAAGAAAGTCAGTTCAGTACAAACATTTAACTTGCATGTGGAATGCAAAACAAATTTTGATGATAACAATTAGCATTCTTGGGTTAAAACAGTTACTAATTTTTAAGGATTGTTGATGCACCCAATATCAGATTTAGATTTGGGTACAGGGCTGTGAGAGACAACAATGTCCAGGATTTATCAGTGCCCACATCCTGGCTGAACAGGATTACTTAAGGAATAACTCAGGTTCAGGAATGGCTTTGGAGCAATCAGCGACCTTAAAATATAAAGTCCTAGAAAGTATGCATTCCCTGGCTCAAGCTTGCATGCTTTCATTAGCTACATGTTTATGACATCAACGCATTAGCCATAGCAAACAACTTTTCATTTATCAGCAGCCATGCCTTACCTTTAAATATTACTGCTAGCTTACAAACATTGGCCAGACAAGCTTGACAACTTTGTCTATTGGGGCTTTAGGACATGTTGACTTCAAAGGTCATATTGCAAGCTTGACAACTTAAGGTTCTAGCAATCTTTCTTCCTGCAGTTCATTAAATTGACCTATGACCTATGACCCAACAACATTGAAATACATGGATAGATGAATGATCAAGCCTCTGGTGTTTTGCATGAAGAAGAATGGGCTGGCAGAAAGATCATGCTGATGACATGACTTTCTCAAGAACCTGAATCAACACAAATCACAAAATGATTTTTTCCTTTTTATTCCTGCAGTGGAACACAGTGCTACATCAGAGGTCTGTACCATTGCTTGGCCATACCAAGAAAACGATGAAAGCTGCAAGGATTGGTCAATTGGCCAGGGAACTTAGTATGATTAGCATTGGCAGCTTACTCGAACTAAGGTGGGAAAAACACTTCAATTTGGCAGCTGAACTGGGTAACCTTGTGTGATATTGAGGAACACTAATAATTTTACATTCTTGGATGGTCTCTAGGCCAGTAAGCAGGTTTTAGATTGAAATGTTTGTCATAACCAGCAGCTGTGGGCCAAACAGCAGTCAGTCTTGAGACACAAGCTTGAGCTGGAGCACAGCAGCTGGATTCAGCCAGCAGGGGCAAGTCTGAAGTTTGCTGATTCCTGTGCTAGAACAGTGCCCTATTTAAGCTCATGGCACTGCCTGTGACACCAAGCATCGGTTCTTGGTTTCTAAGGAATCACCAGCAAAACTTGGTACTTCTGCTTACATCTCCAAGGAAATTGAAAACTGAGTACCTACTGATACTTACTTGGTAGTATCATCTAGCACAATGTGCTGAAACAGGGCCCAGCTGTTACAACTAACAAAACAATGCCAGAGGGTGGAAATTCAGGGAAGGTACCTAAAAGAGCACACATATTTTGACTGAGACCTTAACACGAATTGTGGAACTTTTTAAAAATCTTATTTTAAATTATTGCAGGTCTTGAATTATTAGATTTGTAGGCTACCCTGGCTACCTATAGTTTTTTAAACATACATTGTTAATTTTTTGGTCCATTCAGGAACGCACACTGCTGTGATTAGGAAATACGCCCCGCGGCCACCTCTCCGGGACGGTCACCTGCCAGAGTATCATTGAATCAGTCATTAAAAAGAAAATCAGTGACCAGCATCCACCACAGTTTGTAAAGTCAAACAGGCTAAAAAAGGATTTTTGGCACAATTTACAACATACCATACAGTCCTGATCTCCATTTATGAAAAATGAAAAAATGACTATTTAGTACACAGTGACTACGCACCCATAGATATATTTAGCTATAAATAGATATATACAAACACTATCCACATCTTTAGACATCTTTATTCTATACCAATACAACCTTGACGGGATCCACTCTCCTTTTTTGCTTCTAACAAACGCCCCTTTTACGTATAGGGATTGTTGCAAGCTTATAGCTCCACCCGTTATGTTGCAAAAGATGCCAATGGTCTTGCCAATGGCCTATATACAGCCTTGCCAATGGTGCTTTACAATTAAAAAAATTATCCCATCTCAATCTAAATATGCAAGGGTCACTGCGTTGAAATGTATATAGGGCCTTGGTTGAAATTATCGCGAAATAAATGAGAGCTAGAGCCTCGTCCTTGACTCGTTAAAAAATGCTATGTAAACGCGACTAAGGCAAGGGCTCTCAAATAGGGCTTAATATCATGTTCATAAATTTGTTGTAATCAGCTGCTTACAGGTGCCTGATCAGCTCAACGCTGCTGTTGGTTCGTAGTTCATAAGAAACTATTGTCTTCACTAACGCTATTCGCCTTGCATTGAACATTAGTGTGCATTTCACTCAAACTTTTCCCCAGTCGTTAATTTGATGACGTCTTCAGTCAATTTCATTTTTCAACATTCATTTGCCTTTTTTATCTTGAAAAATGAAAATTTGCGCAACTGTTAAAGTTCAATTAGCTCGTAAAAGAGCAGCATTACGGTGCTCATGAAAAAAAGCATAAATAAGATGAAGGCAAAACGTGGTTGCATTTTATCATTCAAACAGATCATTACTTTGATCTTTGCAGCCAAGCTATTATTTCAATGAATAAATACAATATTTAGAAGTTGCTTAAATTGGCAGTTAAGATGAAAAATTGGAAAAAGTTAAGTGCAAAATGAAAAAAACAAGGAAAACAAGCAAACAAAATATCTGACGAAATAGGACCAAAACAGTCAAGTAAAGAAATTCATAGACCAAAATGTCTTTGTTGCGTCATATTTGAATAATGAGAATCTGTGCCTGACATAAATGTGCTTGGTGCACCCGGTGCAGGGGGATGTCGTCCCGGTTCTCCCCATGTATTATTCGCCAATCAGCTTAACACTACCAGTGACGTCACTGGTGGATCGCCAATCGGGGCCGGCCGGCCGGCCGGGCCCGTAGAAGGCCAAACGCAGACGTTTTCACAAAAGCGTACGCCGTATAGATACAGTCGTGGATGGAGTTTTGCTATAATTCGGCTCTCCAAGAGTGCGTCAGGGTACCAGGACCCGGATAACGGTCATAGTGAACCGGCATATAATAAAACCCGCTCACGGCTTAGCAGCCGACTTCGACCCTTCGCCCTCGAGCACAAAAGCTTGCCGGTCATCAATCCACCTGCATCTCCTCATCTGCTTACTGCCTATATCGACCAGTTACTGCAGCCGTTTTGGAGCGGCTCACGGCCGATAACACGCCGGGCGTGCGCTAGCCGCCGGTGCTAAGCGCTAACCATTGAGTGCACGTGGCCGACTGCCGCCCCGATGGCGCTGGCCCCCGGCACCGACACCGGCGCGGCGCCGCTGACCCATGGGGGGGCTGCTACCGGCATGGGATTGGGATAGCAATTCAGCGAGACGTAAGGGCCTGTGTTGTGCCTTCGGTAGGTCCCCAAAATCACCGGTGTAGTGCCCTCGGGCCGCCGGTAATGAAGCCTTTGGAGGCACTGGTGTGGGCACTCACAGGTAGGTACCGGTGTGAGGCCCTCAGAGGCATTGGTGCGGGGCTCCCGAGGTGCCGCTGTAGGCCCTCTGAGGTGCTAGTGTGTGGCCCTCAGAGGCGCCGGTTAGGGTCTTCACAGTTGCCATTGTGGGCCCTCAGAGACACTGCAGTGTGGGGTCATCACAGTCGGGTGTGGGACCCTTGGAGCTGCTGGCTCGAACCCTTTATAAGCCGACAGGGGCTCTCAGAGACCGACAAGGGGCCCTCAAGAGGTCTGCGGTGTCTTCAGGAGCCCGGGAGTCCTCAGAGACCAGCAAGGTACTCTCAGACGCCGCTGGGGGCCCTCAGAGTCGTCGGTGTGGGGCCCTCAAAAGTCACCGGTGAGTGGCCACTGGCCGTCCGATGCGAAGGTCCCGTCTGGGGCCGTCAGAGGCACCGGCGGTCAGCCCTCAGAGCCGCCGATAAATAGATGGCCAAGAAGCACTGGTTTGGGCCTTTGGGACTTCATTCAGGGGTGCCGGTTGAACTCAGAGGTGGCAGTGTGGGGCCCTCAGCTGGGCACCGGTTTGGGGCTTTCACAGCCGCCGGTGAGGGCCCTCGCAGGCGCCGTTGTGGGGGCCTTCAACCATTGGTTTAGGGGGTCATCACAGGCGTGTGTGGAACCCTAGTTAGAGCTGCTGGTCCCTGATAGGCCGGTAAGGGCCCTCAGAGGTCGCCAATGGGCCCTGAGAGGCCGGCAAGGGGCCCTCGAATGCCGACAAGGGACAATAAAAAGCCGGTGTGTGACTCTTATGGAGAGAAGTGTGGCTATTCGGAGCACATAAGGTGTTCTTTCGAGCCCTGTGGGGCCCTTCTGAGTCGAAAATGCCGGCGTGGACCCTCAGCCGCCAATTGGCGTCGCAGGGCCCCTCGGGCCCGAGAGGCCCCCTGATCCGATGGGGGCACGTGCCCCCTGCCCCCCCCCCCCCCCTCCAGGTGCAGACAGAGAATGCAATCGGCGGTGCGGGACACAACAATTGCAATCGTTCCTTCTCCCGTCGCGAGGTCGCCCATCCGACCCATATCCCAAGATTGTCAACCCTGGGGCTCGGGTCGGCAATGTATCGGCAAGGAAATCAGCCTTAGGTGGGTAAACAAGTTATTAAGAGTCATTAGTTCTCGTTACGTTCAGTAATAACAACGATAAAGTGCCAAATGTACCCGACATACGGCTTGGAGCCGGGCGCCGCGCGGTCTCCACCAGTGACGTCACGCTAATGCTTAGCGACCGGTCCATTGGAAATTGCGGGATGATTCTACCTCTCTTATACGGCCTTGACCCGGTGTGCAAGGCCCTATATCCGGTGTGTCTTTTTTGGATTTTATGGATTTAGTGCTTTGTTAAGGTTTTGGAGCTGTTGTACACTTTTGTTAAAAGGTGAATTTATTTTGCATTAGTGTTGGGTCTATATTACCTATTCAGAGAATATAAACACATAAATGTCCTATCCAAGTTTGTGTCATCTGAAGGGTTGTGTGTTGTGATTATCTCAATCTTGATGCCATTCAGAATGGAAAGATGCATGTTATGCCAAACAGGGCTGCGGAGTTGGGGTTGGAGTCGATCAGAGTCGACAGTTCTGCCCGGAGTCGGAAGTTGCCAAAATGTTAGGTACCTACCGACTCCGACTTCGGAGTCAGAGTTAACACTGCATGGCTCAATTTCATGCACTGTACCTGTTTGATTGATGGTACTGCATTTAAAATTAGATTTTGTTGATAAAAGCCCCACCCTATGGGGCTATTTGAGACAGGCTTTAACTAAAAAAATATCCTTAATCATTATTACTAGCTGAACCAAAATGCACCTATATGAAAGAGCTTACGGAGAA